AAATTCGGTCAGTAGAACTCTTCCCAAACATAAAGCCAATGTTTTCAGCCTCTTGCCTCCAGTAATATAGTATAGCTCAGTGGAGATAATATAGTACGTAATTAAAACTTTCGCTTTAAGTAACTGCAGTGCATTATGTTATATTTTTGCCTGAGTTTATGTTAATAGGGAGCTTAAGCATCTAGGACGGCAACACGACGACGACGTACGGCCACCAATACAATGAGTAAATGAAAATAAATAAATAATTAAAGTCCCAGGGGAGTTTCAGACGTGGTCCTATACTGTATTAAATTCATACGAATTATAATATATGACAAGTTTTCTTTACTATCATTTATTTGAAGGAATTTGTTTTGGCCGTCGTCGTGGTGTTGCCACCGTCCTACATGCTTAAGCTCGCTAATAGCGAGCTTAAGCATGCAGGACGGCATGATTATTTATTTATTTCTTTTTATTGACTCATTGTATTGGTTGCTGTCGTCGTCGTGTTGCCGTCCTATATGCTTAAGCTCCCTAATGTGTGCACGGTTACGGCGACTAAACTCACTGTATTTTCGTATAATGAAGTCATCAACGTGAAACATGAAACAAAGGGATTGTGCATGGTGAGGTACAGGGGCCGGTTGTTCAAAGCAGGGTTATATTAGCTTAACCCTATAGGTTAACATAAAATTCAAAGAAACTTCCTGACAGCTTGCCTAGTAAATTTCGAAATATTTCTTCAGAGATCTTTTTGGATCGATAGGAGTTTGCTTCTCTGAAGGTTTGAAATTTTAACCCAGAATTAGCGCTAACCCACCTTCGAACAACCGGCACGGCTGGGGTTCAACATCAACTAAGTCTTCTATATTTTGTGGCTTTGTTCGGATAATTAAATTATCTCTTACAAATTACGAAGCCAGTCTTTTTGAAGAATATGAAATAATGAACAGAATTAAGTAGCCGAGACGTACTGCGATATTTTTAATAATTCCAAACGTAAACAACGTTTAGTTATTCGTAATGCCGAAACAAGAAACTTCTCATTGCAGTACCTTCATTTCCCAGTTGAATATTATTATTAGATTGATAAGTAAATTTTGTTGCTGTAAAACTGACAATATTTAACAATTATTCAGCAAAGGAGATATAAATTCAGTATTGAAAGATAATAATATATACAATCGTTGTAAATATCATTTAGTTCACTCTTCCGCTTTTGAGTCAAACGAATCCAGCTGTCGGACCCGTGTCGCCGGATTCTGTTTTTTTCCGGTTTTAAATTGCCAAATAAATTGTTTTAGGCATCTAAAAGATGCTTTTGTCTTTCGGAAATAGGTTAACACCATATATTGCTGCTTTTTTTGCTTTTAGAGAAATAGTATGTTCCTTTAATTTCTTCAATTTTTTCTTCAATGATTTGTTTGCATGTGGATTTTTAAAAACTCGTTGTTCTGCCGCCTGAGTATGACTAATTTTGTACTGAATTTGACCATTTTTGTGTAGTTATTCTCCTTTATGGTATAGAAGCTATATTCCCAGGATCAGAAAATCTAGTGCTTGCATGATAAGGATATTTGCTGCCAGCGCCAGCAAGCAGCCCCCCTATTCTTGGCGTGCATGCATCTCGATTTGTGCGATTTTTGTTTGTCAGGATGATTTTGAGCACGCGCATGTATGTGCTGCGGTTTCATCATTAGTCACATGCGAATGCATTCATAGTCGCACTCATGGCTAGTTTCTACTCAGGAAAATTACCTGTGGATTGGAACGGACATGAAAATTTTTCTTTTTGTTAAAGTCATTAGTTCCAACCCAGAGCTCACAACACAAAGAAAAACTTTCTTGTCCGTTCCAATCCACGGATAATTTTCCTCAGTGGAAACTAGTTTTAATGGCTAATGCATAGTCGCGATGTTGCTTCGTCAGCTATAGCATTTGCTGACGTTCGAAAAATTGTAGAAGGCAAGAACTAGATAAGTTTTTTTATTGAAATCATGTGAAATTTAAACTTATTTGTTGCTGCATGGAAGCATTCATCCACTCAGGAAGACAATGCATGATCTTTTATGAAATTTTCAGCGTTATTATTTGCTCAGACTTTGCCGATTGAACAGTGGACCGCCTCCAACGTGGATCAGATTCAGTTAATGAGAATTTATAGGACATGTAATTACTATCCTGAAGACTACCCAAGTGCCCAAGAGACGATTGGGGAAGATACAGGCACTTCCAGTATTTACTCGCAGCATTTCACTTACAATTTGTAATTACCTCGGGTCGGTACGACACCGAGGTCATAAATTCGGCTCCTATTTTTTTTCCATTTGTGTCGAGCCGCGCGCGCAGTCGAAGAGCCTGCGTAGGAGACGACAACTTCCGGTAACCCGAAGCTATCCTTGCACAAAATCCGAAGATGTGATAATTTGATAAGCCAGAAGATGTGATAATTTTGACATACATGTTTAGCTGGATAACTATTCTCGAGTATAAGTTGATATAATGCACAATACTTCGTATGCATAGCATGGGAA